GGGGGGCATGTCAAATTTTTGCACTTATCTAGAACTAATAAATTAAAATGTTCATGTCGGTTGTACATGTATACTACTTTTTGGCACCAAAATATATATAGAACTTCGATATTTTTGAGATTGTGACAATTATAGATTCCCTTTTTCTGAAGATGTAATATTTTCAAGCACTGCCAAGCGTAGAAAGCAACAATTTATCGGACATTATTTCCATTGTCAAACATATCGTGTGAGGCGTAGAATAGTTTTCTAAGTTGCAGTATTAATCTAGGTGATATTTTATAACGTAGAGTATTTATATCTTATGATGGCCGGGTGGAGCGAGTGTTAACAAATTCTCTAAAAAACAATTGGTAAAAATGTAGGTTTTTGGTTAAAATGTTGATGTTTGTGTCTTGCCCTTCATGTGCATGTAGATTAGGCGAGCATTTTGGCAGTTAAATATTGATTTATTTTGTCATAAATATGTAATATGATTTAACTGTTTGTCTTTTATTGTTAATTTGTACGCATACATATGTACAAGGTCAACACCTAATGAAAAGGATATACATGCCAGGCTTTTATGCTAACATTGGGTATTATTTAGCTAATAAAGTGATGTTTAGTAGGGTGCTTCATTGTCTTTGCAATTTTTGATATTTATATTTTTTGATTGGTTTAAAAAAATCACTACTGTACATGAAACCACATGTGAAAATACAGGTTTATCTATCATGAAATGAACTCAACCTTTGAAATAACACTTTACCTTTATACCTAATTCCAACAGATGGTATATAGTCCTCTCTCACCTGACAGGGTGATCACCACACCGTGACATTAGAACAATAAGATTAAGTAGAGTCAGTCCGGTGAGCCTTGACAACTGACCTGACTGGAGACCCTACTAATTAATCCCCTATTGTTTAGAGTATCAGTAGTGGACTCCATGCTCGGGCAACACCCTTAGGCATATATAGATATTCAAGCTGCTTAGTCTGCTGGATAACCGAACTATTCTGTAGTGAAGCGGACGTAAAACCTATCAATCAATCAATGGCAAGGGGAAGCCATAGATATTAGAAGGAAACCCCATATGAAATAGAGGAAAATCTTCAAAAACTTTGGTCCAGATTATTGTTGGACACAGAAAAAAGGGTGTTGCCTTTATTTTTTTGATTATATTTACATGTATACTTTTCTTGACAAAACCTTTGTTTACCAGTTTTTTACCACGTGGCCTTAATAACCACATCACGTACAAACAATACATATTAAACATAAAACAGAAAATGTTTTCTCTCATATCCGGTATTGAAAGATAACGCTGGCCATTTAATGCTAAGTCTGTCTTACATGGGCTAATCACATCGCGTAGTAATACAAAAACTAAGGTGAGCCACGGAATTAGATTAGAGGGAAAGGCATTGAAAGGTGGACTTTTTTTTTTAATGGTAGATATGAGAGAAAAATTCTCTTTCAAATGTAATGGTAGGTGGATAAAGAATTCCTCCCTCGGTTTCATAATTGGGGTAAAACCCTCGACAGAGCCTTTGGTTTTACCCCAATTTATGATCTGCTCTGGAGGAATTCTCTATCCACCCTCCGGTACATATAAAAGAGTCTAATAATCCTTTGCCCACGCAGCAACCCACGCTTATTTTCACATTTCATTTAGATTTGGAGAAGATGCGTGTATTGTTTATTGTCAATTAAAACAAATCAAGCATAGGAAAATGTCTTCCACTTCAGAGAGACAGAACATCAAATTAAATGAATAAATATATAAACATAAAAAACTGAAGCAGTATCCACATTCAACCTGACACTGCTATATAGCCTTTACACGTTTTCAAAAGGAACATCAAATGAAAACTGACGTTTACAAATTGTAGTATAAATGTGTCACGTGTAAAGTAAAAGAGTCATTTATATATCAAATATAGTTCGCCGAAAATATTTTAGTTTTGCCATTATATACTGTGGCTAGAACCGATATCGCTATGCGGTGGTTTTGTTGTTGACATATCTTTGCTGTCTCGTGGAGATGTAGAAAAAAAATGATAATCGGCTTCTCTACTATATTATCCAATATGATAAATAACACGAAAATATTTATGTATTCATCAGCGAAATAGCCACTGGCACTTTCAGATGCACGATAGTACACAGTTTTATTTAACTGTTCCATTTTTAATGTTTCATTAGCTTTAATTATATTTGTTATCTGTTTCACGTGAATGGCAGGATCAGATAATGTCCTTGCAAAACCCCACTCAATTGCGCCACCTATAGCTACATGCATCATACAAATTTCCGCTAATATGTTATAGGAGTTGTCTCCCGTAGATCACTTAACATCTACTGAACCTCTCCTCCCAAGCCTGTCAAACCATTGATGTTTAAGTTTCCTGTTTTATGCATTTTTTTTGTCGTTGTGACTTGAATCTGTTTCAAAGAAAAAGGAAAAAAAGTCTTTCCTGTTGATTATTATTGCGTGTTACATTTGATTCATCATATTCCAAGTCCAGAAACCTAATGCTGTTACATGTATTGTAAAAATGTGGTATTTTACTGGATTGTTTGTCATGAAGTATGATATTTCCCTGAATTGTTCAATAATAGTCACTGACTGTTGTGCCACCAGTGTGACAGTAGTTTAAATGTTGTAAATATCTTGGAGTTGTCAAACACATGTTTTTAAACACAATGTCCATTCAAACGGTATTTACTCTTATTTAAGTGTTTTCCAGTGTTCAGTATGGTTATTATTCAGATGTAAATACCTTGATTATCTTGGTTAATCGTTAGTCCAGGGTAAGAACCGTCTGGAGAGAGTGAGAAATGTAATGTTTTGCAGAGAACGTATACCCTGCTAGTGTGTATGGACGTCGCCATTTTGTGAACTCTCGTGACCTCTTGAACTGTGTCAGTCGGGGTCACTTGAGTGTTTATTCCGTTGTGTATTGAAAGTATTGGATATATGGGATTCGATGGAAATATGGGATGCGTTGGAAGTATTGGATTGCGAGTCAGAGAGTGAATAACGGTACGAAAGAGTTGTAGATGTGGA